GTGTCTTACCTAGCTAAGACTTGGCATATGCTTAGTGTATGTCGATCCTAGCAATATGTTGCATGCCCGCCCAATACGCCCCTTCTATGTCACATGCCTAGTACGCGACTAGTCTAGCCGCAAACTTGGCTTGCCCAGTACACGCTTGGTTTATTGCATGCCCAAAAAGTGATTGGCCTTGCCATAAATCCTAAAGTGTCCGAGGCACACCTAGCCTATCATTTGTCTACCACATGGTTAGCTCTGGCCATCAAGCTCAGCGTACGAGCATAAATGTACAACGCCGGCCTTGTCCGTAGCCATTATTTTCTTAGCCTAAAATTAGTTTTAAATAATTATAAAATACTAAAAACATCGAATTTATAATAAAAATTTGATAATTCATGTAGTTAATTATAATTAATAAAGAATATAATTAACTATTCAACGGAGACTATGATACCAATTGTAGGATCATACATCTTATAGAGATACGAAGTAAAAATAAAACATTTCTCTATATAGGGCTCCTAAGATCAAGTTATTGAATCAACTAATCATACATACATAAATTATAAACTTGAGTAAAAAATTATCTCATACATTGCAACTTCATAAAGTACTAGCCCAAATCCTTCGTATAGTTGATTTGCTTTCTACGAAATCGGTTAAGGTTTTTACAACAATTCGGGCTTTTAAGGAGGGATATGGCAACTCGAAGCTTTTTTAGGAGAATAAACACTTTCTTTGTCTTTTTCTTTTCCCTTTTCCATATGTGTCTCTTTTATGCCCTTACTTATCTCCTCCTTACCACCTTTCCCTCAATTATTCATATAGGAAGCGGCATCCTTGTTCTCTAAGGACAAGGAGTTACGACATGTGTGGGCTTATTTGAACTTATCCTTGTAAATCCTAAGCCTTATCTAATAAGGCTCATTGTTTATCCTACTATCAAAATATCTTATAGACTTTTAAATTAAGCCTATTGGCCCATATTCCTTTAGCCTAATTAATTGCTAATTAATTTGAACTATGCAAATAAAGTGGGTCAAATATTTTAATGAAGCCCACGTTAGGAAAAAATTCTCAAATTACCTTTAAACCTAAATTAGGAAATTAATTTTCATTTTAGGTAACTTACTTCTAACTTTGAAACTGACTTTCAAATTAGAAAATTTATTTCTAAAATAGAAAACTTTCTATTTTAGAAAAAAATTTCCAAAACAAAAAATTTTTCAAAATAAGAAACTTTTCATTTTTGGATACCTTTTTCAAAATATGAAACTTTTAAAATTGGAAGCCTTTTTTCAAAATCTTTACTTCTCTTTTATTATGTAAATGCTTAAACTTATATGTGTGACTTAATGAGCTCCTAAATATGTTGGCAATGTATCAAGAATAAAAGACACTTCTTTATCTCTTGATACATAAATCAAGATGGGCTTCTAGCAAAACATCACGACTACCCAATTCTCTATGAGAGTTAATTAATTTGTAATTGCCTTTCACGAGTATGGTTACCATACAATTCGATCCTAATGTCAATTTATCATTGTGTGATCTCGAACTTGTTTTATAATCTATTTGATTATGATCATACAAGTTTTCTTCGATTCTCAAATATCTTAACTATAAACCAAGCCAACTATGCTCTATTGGTATACTCCCACTATGGTCACAGATTCCTTGAGCAAACATTTATCGAAGTGCAATGTGATAACTCTTTTACCATACATGGAATGACATATCCAATTTTAGTCATCCATCTATCTCCATTAGATTCCTAGTGCACCCAACGAGTCATCTACATGCAACTCATAAGCGAGTTCATTGAAACGAGTGTCAAAAAAGGATCGGTTGTACCCATCTTGTATAAGATTCCTATAGACTAAACCAATTGGGTTCTCATGGTAAGTTATGTCTAGTGCTATATTCTCTAATATTAATGATCTAAGTGCTTGCTTTGGTATTACCATGTCAATAGGCATGAAATCTCTTCTTGTTATCTTATAGCATAAGCATAGTACTCATAATTTTTATCGCATACGATCAATATCCATTCTTAATATTGCTATGACTTAGGATATTTAATAATATCATTTAAGTGTATTAATATTTATCTTACATCTTTTAATCAATCATTAATGCAATGCATGTCATATGGACTTATATCTAATTTTATCAAAATATAAAGGACTAGAATTAATAGAAAAAAATTTATTAAATAAAAAATGTAATATTATAATAAGTCAAACCATCCAAATAAGGTTGGATTTTTGGCACTTACACTAACGACTAGTCATCCTAGATAATAGGCCAAAAGAATGATATGCGTTTTTCAATCTATATAGTGTTGTTTTCCCCCTTTTTGTGTTCTTTACAAAATTCTCTATGCAAAATTAAAGAATAGTCTTCCAATAACTTTGTGAAAACGAGTATTGTAAAGAGGGGCAACTATTATGACCTAATTTTTTACCCCTTTAATTTTTTCTTTTAATTCTAAGCAAAATAGAAAAAAAAAAAGGAAAAAAGAAAAGAAAAGAGAAGTGTGAAACTAAAAAATAAATGGTTAAAATTAGTTTTGAAGGGTCCAATTATAAGAAATAAGAAGTTTAGAAACTAAGCGAAACCCAATTAAGAGTACAATTAAAAAGCCTAAACCCAGTAAATCCTTAAGTAAAGAAAAGAAGAGTACAATTAGAAGAAATTTAAAAGAAGTGATCTTGATTATTTGTAATTTAAAGATGCCATTGAAGTTTAAACAATCAAAATTATACTTAAATTTGAGTTAAGAGAAATCGAGAGATCAAAATTAATTTTTTCCTAAGAAGCCCTAATTTCTCCTACAAATACCCACCCGTTCTCATTTTTATTGAGATTATTCACTATTTATTATGTTTAAAAATTCATCTAGCTAAACCTCTCTTTCTCTCTCTCCTATAATCGAACCGGCGCCACCTCACCTCTTCCTCACTCGGTCATTCCATCTCTTTCTCTTACAATCGATCCGGCGCCCATCACCTCTTCCTCATCTATAATGGAGCCGGCTCTCCCTCACCTAGTAATGATCGACTATTCCATCTCTCTTCTCCGAGTTATGACCAAATTAGCCATATCTCTCCTTTTGAACTAACTCATCCCCTTTTCTTTTTTACCACACTAGCCTCATCCCTCTTCTCCAATCGTGACCAACTAGCTGAACCTATCTTATCCCTTCCCTCTTTGACTAAACCGACCTTATCCCTCTCCTCCTCGACTAAACCAACCACACCTTTCCTTTTGGACAAAATCAGCCCCTCTCCTCCTTTACCAAACCAACCTCATCCATCTGCTCCAACCATGACCAACTAGCCAAACCCATCTCATCCCTCTCTTCCTTAACCGAATTAGCTCTCCTTTCCTCCTCGATGAACCATACCAACACAATCAACCAGACCTCTCCTCCTTAATTTTTTTGCCAAGAAATACCTATCATTGCGACTCTAGTCTTGATTAGAATAAAATAAAATAAAAATGCAAAAAAGGTGTTTGTTTGGTTGATTGGTTGATTGGTAATAAGCGAAGTTTGTTTAATTATTGGATATAACAAAACAATAAAAACATCAAATAAACTATTATTTGGAATGGATTTTGGTAGAAACAATATCATATTATAGACTATATTCTTTATCTTGTTTCTATTAGGGATAACACGGTAACTCCATTATTGCTAGGTCCTCCTTAATTATAGTAATTTTGACAAGTTATAGTAACCTTGACAAATTACGGTAACGTTGTAACTTTGACAACCAACGGTAGTAACTTTGATAACCAGCAATAGTAGTTACTATAGCCTTGACCATCGAAGTGACAACCACCTTAGTGGGATCCACATAATATCTTGACAATGGGCAACTACTCTCCTTTCCCGATTGACTAGACAACTAGTTTCTATTGGGAAAGAAAAGAGTAGAATTGACCCCAAACATAAATTTTAGACAATGTCGGCATCTTTTTTACTTTTGATAACACTCAAAATTTATACCATTTAATATTATTAATTAAATTGTTTTATCTTTCAAAAATGTAATATTTCTTTGCTTTTGATTTTTGTTGAGGAATTTGAAGTGTGATTAGATACATTATTGTGTATCAAACCCGAAAGGGTTGAAGACCACGGGCATTTTATGATGAAACAAGGTTCTTGATCATTTTCCCCATTATGGAGTTAGGAGGACTAGGATTGAGATTTAATTTCAATGGTGTATCCGGGATAAATGTTAGTCTTGATGTTTACATCCGAATAAGATATGTGTGTTTGTGTTGAATGATATGAATGATTTTGATCTTGGATGTGATGTTCCGTATATGTGATGTTCATAACCAATGCGTGATTACCCAATTGCTCCGTTTACTAAAATGAAACCGATAGTGGCTTCAACCTACGTGGCTTCCAACCTACGTGGTCGAAGCTCGAAGCCGTTTGTAGCTTCCAAACCTTTTTATCCAATTGTTTTGTTTACCTAAACGAAGTTGATAATAGCTTCCCACCTATATGACCAAATTTGTCTATGACTTATAAATCTTTTATTCAATGATTTTTGCTATGGGTTTGAGTCACAAGAGACTCGTCATTTTTTTCATACATAATCAATCCCTAATTCAGATATTTATACAGAGCAATTTATTTAAAATTTCCTAAGGTGGTTATTTCCTTTTTCTGCGCATATATGCATGCCCTCGTATGACATCTTTAACTAAACTATTTGTTAGTATCTTGTAAATACTTATCAGTATCATTGATTGAACCTGTATAAATACAGCCTGTGATCTCTTGTATATTCAACAGAGCACTCACAGACTTTACAAGGAAGTAGTTGTGCTTTATAAAGCACACGATAAGGGAAAGCATCTTGACCATTGACAAGGTTATTCGCCGGGTGTCTTCAATAAAAGGGCAAAGGCATTGAAAGGCATGATATATTTTTTATTAAATGTGAGGCTCACGTTGCAAATGAGATTAACTGCCACATTCCACAGCCATGGTGATTGTTACAACATCTATTTCATCATCATATCTCCACGTTCAAATCCTTCCTTTCTGCAAGCCCATTTCACCATTCCTGAAACATTTCAACCAAATCTACACCAATTATAAAAGACCCAGTAGACAAGAAGTGCAGAACTCGAATGGGGCCTTATCAGTTACAGCCTACATGGAGAATCCAAACTCAATCTCCAGTTTTGCCAGCAAAGTGATTGGTTCTCTCCCTGTTTTTGGCCTTGTAGCTAGGATTCTCAGCGATGAAGGTGGCGTTGGAGATGATATTATAGATTTTGCAGAGTTTAGAAGGAGAGTGGGCAAGAAATGCACTGTTACTGATTCTAGAGCTTTCTATGAATTCCAGGATAGACGTGGCCGGGTAATCGATTTCTTAGTAGTATCTTCCCCTTCTCTCTGTTTTTTTTTTTTTTAATTTTTTTTCTCCCTGTGTTTGAGTGGTTGCCATGGGTTGTGCTTTGAAATAGTACTGGTCTTGAGTTTATATTTGTAAAAAGTTCAGTCACACAAGATTTGCGTTTTTGTTTCTCTTTATTAATATAACTCTATATTTGAAAATAGTTTTTTTTTTTTCTGCGTAGGCAGGGGATCCTTTGTATGTTCTATTATGCTGTTGGCTAGCAGCTGTTGGTGCTGGTCTTCTCAAATCCGAAGAGATTTTGGAGGGGGTAGCAAGGCTTCAGCTATCAAATGATATCGAGTTCGAAGAGGAGAATTTCTTAGCATTAATGAACGACGCAAAAGAGGTGAAATTTTTCTATTGTGTTTTCTGTCCTTTGTCAAACTTTTAAGAAACCAAAGTGGTAAACCTTCGGGCTTTCGATTTTATCAATCTGGAAATGCAAATTTCTTCTTATCTAGTGATGTGGTAATTCAAAAGCTAGATTTCTTTAATTACATTGAGTGCAAAACTACTATTAGATTCCATGCCTTATGAGATTGTTTAATAGCTGAGGTTTTCTAATTGTTATGTTTTTAAGCATTTAGAAGTACTAACATAGATTCAAAAGAGAGGGAAACACTGAGTTCAATGTTCACAAGCAACTAACTTCCTCCAGAAAACTCTTGCCCTGGGCAGGAGCAGGTACCTGAGACCTTAAGGTGAAATTTGAACTCCTAGTAACAAGATAACAAGTAAATTCTGCTTAAGTGATTGCCTGAACATTTCACTCGAAGGTAATGAGCTCTAAAGGTGCACAATTGAAAGTGGCATACACTATGAAAATCGTGTACAGCATGAGTCAATGTGACCATGATCATAACCTGGACTATTTTGTGTGAGCAACCATTTTTGTTGAACAGTTTAAACAGTAATGCTAAATGATCTGTTATTGCAAAATAAGTGTGTGGATCCTCACTCATATGTGATAGACTTGTTTGCTGTCCTAACGATAAATGGAGCATATAGCATAGAGGTTGAATCAACAAAACTATCAAGGAAAATGCTTCAGTATTTTTTCATTTTAGTTCAGTGATTTGGCAGTGCTTGGCATGCTGATTCACATCCACGGCTTCAAGCCATTATCGAATGCTATTTTACTGATAATGAAGGCATGCAAACTGCAGAAACGAGCAAAAATGAAGACTGCAGCCCCTGCTATCCCCATGGAGATACGAGCTGAGAAGGCACTTGAGGCCATTTACATCTGCTGTTTTGGGAGGGATCTTATGGAAGAAGAAGACCAGAGACTGCTGAACATAATGCTGAGTTCAGTTTTTCAATCGGTGGAGCAGCGTGAAATACAAAGGATTGTTGCAGAGAAGGCAAGAAAAGTGGCTGATGGCAGTGACGAGGTAAATGTTCAAGGGCCAAAGGCCTTACCAAAAGAAGCTGTACAGTTGCAAATGAAAGACCTTCAATTCCTTAAACAAAATAGAGAAATTTGAACAGGAAACGTTACTGTTATCCTTGCTGTGGCTTTTAGCGCTTCTGCGGCCTTGATTTTTATGCTCCATGTCATATCATAAACTCCATAGAAACAAGGATAAAGAAGGCATCCGCTCCATTATTTTTGTAAGTTAAAAAAAATAAAAATAAAAAATAAAAAATAAATCTATCCCTTTTGCTTCTTTGAACCCTTTTTTTTTTTTTTTTTTGTGATTTTATATAACGAAATTGAACCAATCTTTGCAGTTATTTAACTCTTGAAATACGTCCTTTATATATATATATTTTGAGAAGAAGGACAATGCTGGAATAAATTATAAAATGGTTCCTTTGGTTTAATTAGTTCATTTCCTTTTTTAAAATTAATTATTTAGTTTCTAATGTTTTAATTTTATCAATTTTATCAATAAAGTATTTTTTATCAATTTTTTATTAGATTGATAATTTTTTTCCCTTAAAATTGTGTTTATTTTAATGTTTTACGTCTCTTTTTCATTTATTTTTTCTCTCTCTTCAACAAAAAAATTTAAAGGACAATTTAAAAATAAAAATCACTAATTTAAAAAAATAATTAAGTTATTTATAAAATTAAATCATAAACGATTAAATGATTAGTTTTTAAAATAAAAAGGAGAACTCGTTAATTTTTTTCTAGAACATATGGATAAATTTATAATTTACTCAGGCAATGCTGTAAGGGATAACAAATAGACCATTCCAGGGGCAGTAACCCCACTCGTACCATTCAATGGTAGTTTAAGACAACTCAAGGAAGCCTTATTAAAATTAATAATCCGGATCTAAGGAATGAGCAAAGTTTACCAACCAATTAATGCATGGATTGCCTTCTTGATAAATCTGACAAACTCCAACCTTTCAAGGTTTCTTCAATGTGAGCAATATTGAATGATTAGTTGAGAGTGAGGGCATAAAGTTGAACAACCCTGAAAACAAGATCCACCGTGAGCTTTGAACCAACTTCAACTTCTACTTCCCAAAACCTGCATTCACTTTAGGCCAATTAGGACACCTCAACGTTCAGCTTCCAAGACTTAACAAATTCCTACGTTACAAGCAAAACCACTGAGCCAAACACATGTAGAATCTCTGTAGAGTGTTCCTATCATTGCAAAACCAAAAGTTGTATATGATCGATCTTTTGTATAATTAATTAATTTAGTTAATTTTTATTTTATATTAATATATAATAAATATTACTTAGCGATGGATTTACAATAACATACTTTACGTAGTGAAAGTCATCGTCATTATTTTCTTAGCAACGAAAAATATTTTCACCAATAATGTGTAGAAATTATGTCGCTAAAACGTAGTAAGCATTCTTCTTTCCGATCTCGTATTTGTCACAAAGCTGTTGCTAATTCACCATATCTCGTCACACATAGTGACAAAATTTTTGTCGTTAAGTTATTCTCGCTAAAGTTTTTTGCGGATCCGTCACTAAATTTGACACTATTTAGTAACCATATAAGTATTCGTCATAAAGTGATTTAATTTTTACTTGCTAATTTGATCGCTAATCAAAAGAAATTTCTTTTTTAATATAAATTAATAGCCATTTAATGTTAATAATAGTAACAAATAACTAAAAATAACATCTTTTTAAATAATATAATATATTATTTAATAAAATTAAAATAATATAAATTGAAATCAAATAAACATGTTAAGATGTATGAAAACATTAAAAACCTTTTAAAAAATCTAATCCTCATCTTTCGACTGCTTGTGTATTATTTACTAAAATTAAAATCAAATAAATATGTAAACGTTTTAAGATGTACGAAAACATTAAATAACTTTTAAAAAAATCTAGTTCCCATCATCTCTTATATCATCATATTTCGACTGTTGTGTATTGAGAGGAATGACCGACTCTCGGGTTGGGGAGCGAGGGGTCAACAAGAGGGACGCAAATCTACTGCGGGTCCCGTAACAACTCCATCGATCTCGCATCTAACTCTGTAAAGTGCTAAATTGACTACCATGTTCCTGGATGGTAATCTCCATCCCCTTGATCCTATCTTCTTTATAATATCCCGAACCTAAGAATAAATAAATTAACATATGTTAAACGGATGTGAAAATTATCTTGTATGCTTAGAATAATTGTTTGAAGCATACTAGAATATTTTATGCATTTGGGTGAATTTTTTATGTGCTCGGTGAATATTTTATAGGTTTTTTATACGCATGAATAGTACTTTTATGCAAATTAATTGTTTTGAGTGCTTTGGAGGTGCATAAAAATTATTCTATAAGCATAAAAAAAATTGCTAGGGAGGTGTAAGAATATTCCATGCACTTAAGTGAACTTTTTATGTAATTAGTGCATATTTTACGTATGAATAAGTGCATTTTTATGCAAAATAATTAATTTGAGTACTTAAATGTGTGCATAAAAATTATATGATTGATGAATAAATTACTATAGAAAGTGTTTGAATTTATTATGAAAAGAAATTATTTTTTGAAAAGGTGTGAAATTAACTATGCCTATATAGGGATCCAATTGCCTAAAATCAAAAGTTTAAGCTTTCAAATAAAATTATAAATGAACTTGAGGAGGACAAAATTTGTTAGAAAAGACCTTATAGAAGGACCTAAATTGGCCAATTAAATATTTGGAGGGCTTAACGAGGAGTAAAAATTAGATAAAGTAAGAAATTGAGGGACTAAAATAAAACCTTTTGCAAGAAATTTTTCCTCCCATCTTTGTCACTTCTAACCCTTAATAATTAAGGGTAATTAGTGAACTTTAACTTATGGAACAAATGGAAGGCTAAGATGAGATTAGATAGATGGATGAGATTTGAAGAAAAATGAAAGGCTATGATTAAACAATTAAAAGGTTAGGATTAAGAGTAAAATCAATGGTAAAGATTAAGTCAAATGAAGGGCCAAGATCAAGTCAAACCATTAAAAAGTCTACCAAGGTCACCTACAAATATGGCTAGAAATGAAGATATAAAATGTTGAAAAATTGGAAAAACTAAGGGAAACTCTTGCAAATTTTTCATAGAAAATCATAAATAATCTTACCTAAACACCTAGAACCACCCTAAAACACATCATTAAGCTTAGAATTTTAGGTGGAAGATCAAAATTTTCAAGGAGGAAAAAAGTGGTCTTGGTCAAATATTGGAGGATAAAAAGAGGAAGAAAAATTTCAAGGAAATCCAACGAATTAAAGACTAATCTAGAGCTTTTAAGGTAAGTTAATCTCACTTATATCCCAAGATTATGTTAATTGATGCTAATTGTTAGTTTTACCCAATTAATTTGTATTTAATTAGATTAATTTAGTGAATTAGGGTTAGAGTTCTTGTTAGGTCAAATTGGGAACAATGATTTAGACATGAAAATTGATGAAATTAAAGTTAGAATATCTTATTTGAGCATGAAAACAAGTGTTAGAAATAAAAATTCCTTAACCTACTTCATGATGAAAGTTTCGACCCAAATAGTACAAATTAAGGTTTTTGTTGCTTTTTTATTTATTTAATGTTTGATTGAATGATTATGTGTTATTATAGTGTAATTAGACGATTTACTATGAAAAATTTTATTAAAATTAAAAAATTCACCTCATTTAATTAGGTGAAATTTCGACTGCATGAGGAAATTAAGGTTTTTGGTATGCTTTGATGTTTGAATGGATGAATGTTAAAATTTGTGGTTTCATGGTGAATTAAAAGCATTGTATATGTTCAAAGTATGCAATTATATGTTTGTGACATAATTGTTTATGTTATGAAAATTATGGTTTGAATGAATGCTTCATGCAATGTATTATGAATTGATTAATGCTATGAAAGATGACATTTTGTGATGCACCATATTGATTGTTAAATGGTTTTATTATGCACTTGAATGGTTAGTCATGAACGGCAAGGTAATGTATCTTGTAGTGTATTTATTAATGTTGAGGTATATAATGTCATGGCATAAATGCACACTACATGGCATACACTATATGGATTCATGAAGATTATGCATTTATATTTAAATACATGTGCATGCCAAGTCATGAAAAGAATTCCTTCATGATTTTTAAAGGAAAATGAAAAAAGATTCATGGTTCATGGATTTCATGGTTTTTATGGATCGAGTAGATGCGGATGTGTACTTTAAAATACTCGATAAGTTTGAATAGGTACGGATGTGCACTTTTAGATGCTCAACATTGAGCATGTGTAAAAATGCACATTTAGATGCTCAATAGCTTCGGATACTCCATAGGGCACGTCCAAGTATAGAAAAGATTTTTTAGAATAATAATGGAAACAATTTCATAGCATGGAAAAAGGATTTTCAAAAGGATATGAAAATGTTTTCTTTTCACGTGCATTTCACTTACACACATACATAGCATGCATGATTAACTTACTCGTAATCGCTCATTGAGTTCCCGTGATGGAGGAACCAAAGGTAAAGTCTAATGACAAGGTTTGTGTTTAATGCAGTTACTCGAATCGCTTCCATCGATTTGTCACGTGTATCTCACTTGCGAGTGTAAATTAGACCTACTTCACACTATTGTTCTACTAGTGCTTGGTATTTTAGCATACATACTAGGTATGATTTCTTTGTTATATATGGTAGTAAAATTTATGAATAAGTACATGATTATCTAATGATAGGAAATAGTTTGTAGATAAATAAACCACTTTTTAATAGTGTGGTACCAAGCTACTTATAATGTAAAATATGGGTAGTTTGTACGTCAACTAAATTTTGAACATGTCTATAATAATGTAAGAGTATAGTAATGTGTGGTAGTAGTAGTTTCTTTTAATTAATTACTTGCATCTTAATATTGACGTTAAACTAAACAATTAAGTGACCACAAAAATAATAAGAAAAGGATTGTAATAAATGACTAAATCATCAAATAATGGGTTCGACAAATTTAATTTAATAAAATTATGCAAGTTTATAGAAAAAGAATTTGACAAAGCCGATAGACACGGATCTA